CGAATGATTACATTTTAAAATTGTAATAAGCCATGTGTTTTAAATCAACCAATATATTAAGTAAAAAAGATATTGTCAAAATACATATGTCATTATTTTCAAAATTGACATTTAGATGACATCTGTTGTCATTTTTAATTATATGAGTTTGTTTCATGATACTTAATTACCTTTGCTACCAATAAAATTTCGTCACATTACATCGTACGTAAGCGTCCTACCCATACTGTACCTTTACATACCCAGACAACTTACAAAATCTTTCCCATCGACTTTTACTTGTTCGAATTTAGAGTCTTCCCGTAACAAAACATACTCGAGAGACAAAAAAAACAGATTCGAAACCTTTGTAATCCAAAATAGTGTTTAAAAATATATGAATAGTACCTATTTTGCAATGTAAAAATTTATTACGAAGCAACGCCCAACTTGACAAAAGCCTAGCTTCAACCTAGTGTTGCAAAAACATTAGCTCGTTTTTTATTACGGGCAATTAAGATAAACAGACAAACTACTGAATAAAGTAAATTAAAATCAAGCAGCAAAGTAAGTTAAAAGCAAGCAAGCTTTAATATTTGACGTTAACATATTTATATAAATTCACAAACTATCCAGTTTTCCATTAATAAGCCAATGCATAGAATTTAACTAACTGTAAAACGTTAATACTGAGACAAAATAGTTAAATATTACAATGATTGACATATAATATTTATTCTAAAGGAACTGGCTTAATAAAACTACAATATTTGAGCGAATGTTAGTTTTATAATGTGTTTTATTTAATATTGCTATTCAATTTTGTGCTTTTGTGACCGAAGTTAAAAAAACAGTTTCAAAATTAAATCGATCTGACATTCAAACAGACAACTTTACATTCCAAATTTGAATTATTTCTATGTAAGGTCATTTACTGTCAATGAGCTGTGTTTAAACTTCTATGTTATGACACAAATACTGACGTTAGGTCATAAAACGGTGAGTATCATACTTTTATTGATAATTTTCAAACGAATCAACAGACCAACCTTATCTTAACATCTCATGACTCTAATAAAGGTTATAACGTCACATAATCAGCGAATTAAAAGCAATCAATGGAAATGTAATTAAAAACGAACTTTTACGAAAGAATACATCGTAAAATATCGACATCCCCGCTAATCGCAAACACTTAATGAATAAAATCGATAATTAAAATCGCCTAAGAGTTAATTGAGCTGAAAATGGAATCTAGATTTTAAATTACGAATGGCGTGAAGCCCAGCCGTTTGCCTTACGCTTTTTGCTTTTTTTAACTCGCCTGAGGAGACTAGTGTGGTAGTTAGCGCATTCCGATGTTCGATTTTTCTTTTATTAGTTCGGAATTTAAAATGTGAGCGTAAGAATTCGTTACTTAAATATTGGCCACAGATTATAAAACTACATTTAAATTGAAATGCCTTTCTTTCTTCTTGTAAATAGACATGTAACTAAAAATATAATTCCTTTGCATTTCAAAACTACAACCAACATGGCAAAACCGTGCAGTACAAAATAAAAACAGAAGTTGTTTGTTCTTAAAATCGATTCACTCGGTAAATCGATTCGGCGAGAACTTGATCCTCATAACCGTAAATCATACGAACAAAAGACGGAAAGGAAAATACAAATTAGCCTTATAATCGGTCGTTAAACGCGAGTTAGAGAGCACAGGCTAGTGCAAGAACATAGTAAACAAAACAATGAGTACCGAGCTATAAAATGCTCATTGAAAATGCTTAGCGATAGAAACATAGGAGGTATTGGGTTTTGCTGTCAAGAAACTGCACAAATACAATTGTGTATATAGTAACTTTGACAATGGCCCTATACCAGTTAGACTCATGAGTACACGACTGCCAACGTTAATTAACTTCACGTCTATTCTTCCAATCTAGATATTTGCAATAAAAATATACATGCGTGAGAAATATCCCAATTTAAAACTTTCGGATGTTTCGTGAAATAGTTTTGTCTAACAAACTAAGTTTAGACTTTTAAATTGCTTAATTGACCATTGAAATATTCATCTCATAATACGCCATAAAAACTGGCTAATTCTAAAGCTAACGCTAGTGCAAATCTGATTTTATTTGTCGAGACAATAAATACGAATCGATATATCTTTTTGTCACTGATATTCGATTCAAATAATCGACATCAACACACAAAGAATGTCACACATTTAAACAATGGGTCTAACGCGTTGTTGGTCAAGTTAGACGATGCGTCAAACGAGACCATCAACTAAATAGATTAATATCAACAAATTCCTGACGCATAGACAAATAGCTGTTGAGAACAATCGTCAAAGACTTAAAAACAATTTGGTTACGTCACAAGCAATTACGAAACGCGATTCAAGACCACGATAGTTTCCGAACGCATCTCTTAATAATAGGGCCCTTCAGTACTCCTATAATCGCATTCATCTTTATATTATATCTATCCCTTTTCTACAGATCGGGGCTAAATATATCTATCCCTGTTCACTGTTGTCAGCGATCGTTGAGAAACCACAGACCCTGCTTATCAACATTTCAAATCTAAAATGTCTAATTATACCCACATCACTGGGTGAACATCAAAAAAGAGCTATTTTTAATTAATTTAGACCCCAAAACTATTATAATACGGGCAATTTTGTTATCTAATAAGCCATGACGCTAACAAGAGGTCGGACGCCATTTTGTTACCGTAAATTTAATGATATGGCCGTTTAAATAGTTTTAGAATTGATATAAATTATTGCAAACACCAACTAACGCCTACTTTTTGAAGATTGATCGCCATTGTCTTTTGATATATGAGTTCAGGAATCGAATAAATTTACATTAAATACGTGATTTTGATAACAACACTAGTTAGATACTTTAATTAATGGCTGAAATTAGGATAATCGATTACAAAGTCGGCAAAGACTCCTCGTGTTGAAGAAACCATTAATCAAATTAAAATTAAACGCATTTTAATGTCACCGTCTGCTAGACTCGGCTCTACAACTACGTACTTAAATAGTATACGAGTACTACTCTATGGTACTAGCCAAGCTACTCTTTCTTTAGAACTATCACAGTAAATGTAACTAAAAAACGATTACCCATAAAAATGAAACATTTCTGTACTTTGCACCATTTCATACACACAGGTCAGCCAAGAGTCTACTGAGGTTCTGATGTGAGGTACCCAGTAATAGACCCGCTCATAATGAAACACCGTGGAGGTGTCAATAATGATGATTCCAACTTACCACTTCCAGCCTAACTCCGGTTACATGACGAACCGTTAGAATTCCAACATGATAAAAGCAAGTTTTAGTCAAAAGTAAAAACCAATTCTAATAAAATCAAATATTACTTCAACAGACTTTCCTTGCTTTGTATGCAAATGTACCAGATGTATTGCCAATCGATAATTTCTTAAATATATTGCTTAACTTTTTAGTCGCAAAGTAAATAAATTAATAATTGTACTTTTTCCTCTTTGAACAAAGAAGAAGTCCATTAAAAAAGTATCCACAGCTAAGTTATTATTCTTTTGATGTGTATTTGTAAATACTATCTTGTTAGCTAATTTTTGAGTTGGCGACACTGGTTCCAATTTTCCTCGTATTTTTTAATTATCATTCAGTCATTGCAACACTTAAGGATAGAGTGATAGATAGAGAGATATAAATATAAGTGTTACCAAAGCGAAAAAACTTCCGATCCCTTGAGAGACTAATAACTAAAACTTGACGGCGCGTTATTGTGTAAATTTAATGTTTTTTATGCATTATTCTTCCTTTTAGATTTCGCCAAAAATTGAGGTAAGGCAATAGCGTTCATGTAAAAAAATGTTCTAGAGTGCAAAATCGTTTTGACAATCTCGGAAAAAAGCTGTTGACAAAAATATGCGATGATGTACGAAGGTTGACTATCTACTAAACGCAAAAAGAAAAAAAAACAATATCTATGCTTTGATACAAATGTAAATAAATAAAAATATCCATGTGCCATTTTAAAACTTTCTAGTTTTTCAAAGTCTAGAATCAAAACATTTCACTAGAAATGTTATAATTCCTGTTATTTTAAGTTTATACTAATATAGTTATCAGAGAACGTAATATACAGATTACACCATATTTTAACTTTAAATACTCCCCGTTTTAGGTTACCCGTGCATCAGATGAAATTTTAATTTCAAACTGCTAGACTGGTGTCATTCTCTTTTTAAAATAAATAGTCAAGGTTTTACAGGATATTACACGTGTCGAATATACCCGTACATAGGGTTTTTAGTTTATGCCTTCTGATATTTAATTAATCAAATTATTAGTTATTAATCAAGTAACATAGGTTATTCAATTATCAAGGAAAATCATCGTTAAAGGATGACCCACTTCCTAAATTAGTTCCATAATCTGATTAAAAATCTTTAGAAGTTCTGAAGATGTTAACTTCAGATCTTAGACTAATCCTGAGATAGTTCAAAATAACATTGTTTTAGTCTAACTAGTGGAACCAAACGAACTTAATAACATTCCAAAAGATGTGCGGTTTTGTTAACGCAACAATAAAACCAATGATTAAATTGGTGTTAAAATCTATGCTTTATATTGACACCTCGATACACACTGTAATGTTATCAAACTAAAAACGGATTTATATTGATTAAAGTTATCCCCTTATTCGTGAGTAGGTATTTCGGGGATACTTGAAATGTTTGACCCTTAAACGTATAGTGTCCGGGACCACACTCAAAATACACAAGTAAGAAATTCCATCTCTAATAGATGAAATACTACCCAGAAGGATATTTAAATAGAGTTTAAATTTCGACACGCGTCTTATTCTAACCGGAATATCCTTTAAAATTTTGATTAAGTATTGTAAAAAGACTTTTTATAGCCACAGACTAAAACTCATAAATAAATAAAAACTATATGCTAAACATCTAAATTACATTATATTTACACGTATCTCACTAGAGTCACTCTCCTACGTCTCATTCTCACTTTCACTGAGTTCATCCATGTCCATATCAATAAGTTCTTCGTCATCATCTTCATAGGAATTATTGAGTTGGCTACCGTCATCTGGTTTCATGTTTGACGAGCCTGACTTCCCTCCTGTTTTTGCTTCTTCTTCTTGCTGCATTCGTTTGTGTTTCGTTCTTCTATTTTGGAACCACACCTTTACCTGTAGACAAAGAAGATTGCTGTTTTTAGTTTGATGAATAAATGTATAATTTTACGGGCCAAAAAGTGACAGGTATAAAAGTCAGAATAACGCCATGATATATATTAATAAGTCAAGACAACTTTTTATTTATGTTTTAAATCGAATGCACACAGAATTGCATTTAAGTTGGAATACCAATACTAAAATTGTATAAATACTAAATGTAAAAGAACTGCAGAAAACTAATATTATTTAACGGGAATTAACGCGATCTCTTATTTAGGGTATTACATACCTCTGGTTTGCCTGACGTTTCGACCAGGTTGCACCGGCCGTGGTCACAGGCTGACTGGCTCATCGGCGCACGCCCTCCGTCGTCGAATCCGTGAAGTAGAAGGCTCTTCATCTACCCGCACATTTTCGATATTGTTTTTGTGTCGCCATGTACCGTCACATACCACACTAACAGTGTCCCTATTCTGTAAGCAAACCGATGAGTCCCTATTCTGGTGTTTAACCGATTGCGCAGAAAAGCGAGGTGGTATGTTTTTTAACACTGGATTCCACGCTGTAGATAATTTAAAACCATCTTCCCAATTGAAAGTTTTATGCTTTTTAATCTCAGAATAGGGACACTGTTAGTGTGGTATGTGACGGTACATGGCGACACAAAAACAATATCGAAAATGTGCGGGTAGATGAAGAGCCTTCTACTTCACGGATTCGACGACGGAGGGCGTGCGCCGATGAGCCAGTCAGCCTGTGACCACGGCCGGTGCAACCTGGTCGAAACGTCAGGCAAACCAGAGGTATGTAATACCCTAAATAAGAGATCGCATTAATTCCCGTTAAATAATATTAATTATCATGGAACGCGAAAGTTTAAAAGTTAGTACTGCAGAAAACTGTTTTTAAACAATATGTGTATAGCACATTTGTTTAAACAATATGTAGTAAACAATTCGTGCTATAAAGTTAATAAATTATGGCTTCATGTTATGTTACCCGTGCCAAATGTTAGTTATTGTGATCAAAGAATTAGACAGTAAAAAAGTCACGGCCATTGTTTTTCAATATGTGCTTATGCTAATGTTAAAATTTAACACAGATAAAACATAGATAAGTGAACTAATATAAAATATATATAATTCATTAAGGATTTTGTCGTCAATTTTTTTTTAATTTGAAATTAATAAATCATAGTACTGTTATACTATTGTTAGTATTGCCAGTATAATAGATTACGTTAACTTCTTTCAGGCAATTGATACATATATGACACTTTGGATTTAAAAAAGTACACCATAATAGCGCTTTTAATTTTTACTATTCGTGACAATTTTTAATTTGATTGACCTATTGAGACAGGCCAGACTTATAAAGAACATACACAATGTTCTTAATAAGTCTTGTGACTAATGTATCTGAAATGAGTCAAAATATATTTATAAAATAATTTATAAAACTTATTTTAGCGTTAAAAGGTTGTAACATACCACTTGTTTGTAACATTCCACTGGTGAAAGTGTTTATAGGCACAAAGATCATTGCAATAACTCAAGATCAAAACAAGAAATAAAATCGTTACAAAACCCAACGGGGCGTTGATCTATAATATGTAGCTGCCACCATGAAAATACAATTTATAATATAATTTTACGCTAGACATATCCCCATAAAGGATTAAAGGAACAACCCAATAAAAAACTATTCAAACGACCCCTCCGATCCATATATCAAAAGCTATTGAAAGAAAAATCCGTTGTCGAATTTTTCTGCGCGCCAACAACAGATTTCCCGCTCAAAATGCCGGCCGCCATTTTGTCCAACTATTTGTCATGTGGTTAATGGCTTGCAAAATGTATTCACGTCGCGCTTTTGAGATATTACAACTAATGCGAACTCTGTATTTCTCAGTTGTGCTGCCAAAAATGGATTTACTGTGCCGTTATTTGGGTTAGTAGCTGGCTATTATTTAGACTGCTCAAAATGTAGATTATTGTTCAAATTGAGTCACTGAATTCATAATGTTGTGAACAATACCTAATTTTGGTTGTCTAGACTATATAACTGGCATAGTTTCAGGCGTGGAACAATATTTTTTTACTTTAATAAACACAAAATCGAAAAGTTTAATTCAATTTTGTTTCTAGAAACAATATAAGTTACGGGGTTTCGGCTTGATCGACCCTGACCTGGTCTCTAATAATATTACTGTACTCTGTGCCTTGTCTCTATGACTTAAGAAATAGACTATGATTATTTCTTTTTAAATATTTCCCAGATTACCAGTAAAACTTTTTCTATCTATGGTTAAAGCGAAACACATTGCAATTTTATTAATCTTGATAAGTTTTGTTTACCATTCAAGTTGTAATGAGTTTAACACAAGAAAGGTAATTCTCTTAAGATTAACACCTCCTTGCGTACTCACAAATATAATTTAAGCAATAAGGTAGAGCTTATTAATAACTAGTACTAGAATACAAACAACTAATTTAACACTTATTGCCCATAAACTTTGAAAGAAAATTGAAAATCTTAAATTTTCCAAACCATAAAATCATGCAGAATTAGTTAGAAACATTATATGATTATATTTTTATGGACCAAGCCAATAAGGCAAGAGAATTGCATTAAAATTGAAATGCGTCGGTAAAACAGGTAACAGTGATGTTTCTTACAAGGATTGCCGTGAAATTGGCTGCATTTATGGCATTTTATATTTCCATACATGTTATAAATCGTATTTACCTTTATTACTGATAAAAATTTACTAGGAAATAAGACAATAACTTTGTTTTATGAAATAGTTTTGAGTTGTTGTTTTATAGTTTTCGATTTTTATTGGCGGCTCACAATTGACTGATTTGATTTTTATTTAGAACAAATGACGTATGAATTGTATGGAAAAACTTAAAATACAGTTTTACCTGCTTTTCACTGAGTTTTTTTTATTTTTAGAACTCCTATTTTTATTGTTGTTTTAATTTAATTATCATCATTAATTCTAATGATTAGGTATTATGATTTAGAAGGTACTAGTAGGTTCTAGTGGTTAGCGATACCTGAACCAAAGGTCGTGGGTTCGATTTCCACACATGGCAACTAATTGTGCGACGACTACGATAATTTTTATGTGTTCGGGTGTAATTTATCCATAGTATGAATGTATTTAGAAACATATAAGTATGATTTTCAGAAGTCTGGTTACCATAGCATAGATTCTGCCTAAATTGAGATCAGACTGATGTGTGTTCGTCATGTGTCAAGTTCTTATTATTAGAGCCAGTAAAAAGTTAATCACTCACAATCCATTTAACTCAAATACCACATCACAATTTCCAAAACATCGTGAGAACAAAACTGAAAGTTTGTTAACCCAAGTTCCTACGAAGGGGGGCTCAAATCGCTACAGTCACGGTACATTATCCTCCATATCGACATCAAATATCAATCAACGAGCTTCCTGCCACCCTTTGGACGTAATGATGCGTGATGTTATGTCAATTTTCTTCCTCAACACATTCGAGGAACATATACACTATGTACAACAAAGTTGACTGTTAAATAAGAATATTGTGACACATAGAACAAAGTGTTATCTATGCCTAAACCAAAGAAGAAACTTACCATAGATTATAGAACAGGAGTACTATCTACTTTTTTTTTTGTAAATGCTGTACACTACCGACCTCTTCGGTATCCTCTAGCCTCTATATTTCTTAGCTTTATTTGAATTTCATCGATATTAATGTGCATTGCTCTTGTCCTAAGACCATAATGTTTTCTCAAAAATTGAGCCATCAAACGCAATAAGACTTATTTTGTGTTTGTTACCTATGTATGAACCGATTTCAAAAATTCTTTCTTTATTCGGAAGTATATAGGTTTTGTTTTGTTTTTGTTAACTGGGTGGAAGATTCTCATGAATGTCCTTCGCGGATGGCGAAGGGGTCTGTCGTACTCTTACCGACTAAAACCACCCCGGTGTTCGTCTCCTTGCCAATGGTAGGGGAGCGAGAATCGCAATTGCAGTCTTCCGCAGGGATATAGACACCGATACCGTTTGATCTTTATTACAACTTTAAGAAAAAAATTCCTATGGCTGAAAAAAATTATTAATGAAAAAGCATTTCCTACAGATACTAGAGACACAAAGAACCTCTTACGCGAACTTTAGTGTGCTTGAATATGTGTAATTTAATACATTGTCTTCTATTATACACATGTTTTATGATCTTTAGCAGCGAGTCGTATTCAAGATGATGTTAAACCAGTGTTTAGTTGTAATAAATCATATATATCTCTTTTGTATAACTGTTTTTACTTCGACCACAACTTTGTTATTCATTTGTTGTGGATACGGGTACTAATTCTCTTGAATATGTTAGTGATAAGATGTCGTACGGGTAGAGTTCTACAAGAATTGGCGCCGTTCGACTTGGTAATGACACTCTATTCCACGATACAAAAGATTTTTGTATGTGCAAGAGGACAACTAATAGGTAAGAAGTAAACATCAGTAAATAACATATGTAGTTGCAAAACCTACCCCAATGCCGCTAGTGCAGGCAACGGTTATGACATAAATCGAGCAGTTCTAGACAAAGAAAATTTTACGAAAAAAAGACCAATAACTTAAAATACCATTATTATTTAATCAAAAGTATAAAAGTGATCTTCAAAATAACAACTACATTACCATTGATATATGCTTAAACAAATGATAAAATTAATGGTTTTATTTCAACCCTATCAGTCCCGGGTCTCATAGGCCCATTTGCTACGTGTTATACGTCATCCATCATGCGGTCTTCTGTACCCCTAGGGATGTGTCAGGCCATGTAATTTTATGTCATTTCATTTGATGTTTATAGAGTACGTTCCGTTTCACGGTTCTTTTGTAAAGGGTTGATTACTATTTACAGTTTAGTTATATACGGTATTGGACTTCGATTTAAACTTTTTTACGTTATAGCAGGCAAAAGATCAGACAGATCACCTACACACACCCC